ATGGTCCCCCCATCATGCAAGCATCTCAGTTTTGTTGGAGTGATTTTCTTGGTGCTCTCTTCCTTCAGATTTGGGAACTAGGAGGCCCACTCCTTTGTCACAAAGGGGTATGATGAGAGGGCACAGCCTTTCTTCAGGATCACTGCTCTTTCACGTCTCAGCCCACTTACCATAGTGACTTGGGATTGGAGATAGTGTTGATTATGTTCCTGGTAGGGCCGTCCCAGCAAACATTGACAGAATGCAGCTAACCTTAATGCTGGCAGCTCTCTCAAAGCAGAGTTTGAGTTATTTAGAACCTATCGACCTGTTTTTGGCTTTATCCACAGTTCCCAGATAATAAGGAAAAAACCCACTGCCATTCTGCTATACCTCTTTCACCTTTTATTACCATTTCCATTATAGGAAAGAACCTGCCATTAAGACCAGAATATTCACATCTGTTGTTAGGGGCACAATGAAAAGGGCTGCACAAATATTTCTTTGAGTTTTCTTTGATGCAACCCGAGCCTCCACTTTCAACACTCAAAATGCTAGGACACTTCCCTGTTGCCATATTACGTACATCCTACAACCAGTCACCTTAAAGTATTGCCTGTAACATCCTCAGCTCCAGCGAGTCAAGCCACTTAAACTGTCAGTCTCCTCCCCTTCCTCCTTCTGTTTGCCCCAGGCCTTAGTCCTTACCAGAAATGCCATCTCCCCTCCTCTCTACTTTCCAAATACTATCACACCCACAATGCTTTATCTGACTTTTCCTGCCTATATTGATTTCTTAATGTCGGGATTATCACTCAGATATATCCCATAATTTTACTTTCTCTGTGAATCTCTTCTTCCTCTTCAAGAATAATACCAAGCACTACATTTAAGTGGTCATATTTTGACAAGCACAGGGAGAAAAGAAGTCTCTTTGCAGAATCCTGAAACAACAATCTCACCAGCATGCTTAGCTCATCCATGCCAACAGTTGTAAATGTCCTACTACAAGGACATTTTGATGCCACAAGGTTGAGGACTAACCACTGGGCAGATCCTTCAAAGCCTAAAATTGTATAATCCTGGGAAAATGGAAGAGGCACCCAGAATGAATTGGAGTGAGTTGTATAAAGTAGCATTTTATTCAGGTAAAAGAATTTATGGCCTTGCACAAATAGCTAAATCTCCTCACTTCATTTTTTTCCTTCTGCTTAATGAAGCTTGTTATTTCTAAAATTTACAGATTTTAAGAAGGATAAAATGGGAAAATGCATGTAAAGCAGGAGTACAGTGCCTGACACTTGGCTATGTTTTCAATAAGTAGTAGCTAATCAAAATATGGAGGTAATACTGAGGAGGAATTTAAAGAAAACTGCATTTTAGCTGTTTTAGAACTGTAAATGTTATGGGCTCTGTCAATCTCATCTGTCACCACCTAATCTCTCTGAGTCTGTTTCCTTATTTCTGATTCCTCTTCTCACTGTCCTCATCTATGAACAATACAACTCATCATTCATAGGATAAAAAGAAATAATGTATGTGATAACACTTTGTACATGTCAGATATTCACTTATTGTTAGTGAAGTATGACTTAAGCTGGATTAATCAAAGATAACTGAACATAAATTAAAACTATAGAAATTAACTGGTTATTTATTTCAGTAAAACTAAGTCCATAGAATCATCTAATGTGAGTTAATTCTTAAAGAATGATAAAAACAGTATCACAAAAAATATAGCTCAGATGATGACATATTATTACCAGTCTAGTCTAATTGTATATTTGAAGTAATATTAAGAAATAAACTTTCGATCTGCTATCATTAAAAAAATTACAAGTCCAATGTAATTAAATTTTTCCTTTTACTTTTCACCATATTTTCTCCCTTGCAGACATGGACAGAGACAACCAGACTAGAGTCACAGAATTCCTTCTTCTGGGACTCTCTGGGCAGTCAGAGCAGGAAGAGATTCTTTTTGGGCTGTTCTTGTGGATATATCTGGTCACCATCATCGGGAACTTTCTCATCATTTTGACCATCTGCTGTGACAGTCATCTCCATACACCCATGTACTTCTTCTTGGCCAACCTCTCCTGTGTTGACATCTGCTTTTCATCAGTCACAATCCCCAAGATGCTGGTGAATCACATACTGGGAAGTAAGTCTATCTCTTATGTGGAATGCATGACTCAGATCTACTTCTTCATCACTTTCATCAACATGGATGGATTCCTTCTGAGTGTAATGGCCTATGACCGTTACACTGCCATCTGCTGCCCACTCCATTACACCATGATCATGAGGCCCAAATTCTGTGTCCTTCTCGTGGTTGTATCTTGGGTCATTACAAACCTGCATGCTTTCCTTCATACTCTTCTCATGGTTCAACTCACATTTTGTTCCAACAATGTTGTGCATCACTTCTTCTGTGACCCTTACCCTATTCTAAAGCTGTCTTGTTCTGACACCTTTATCAATGACCTGATAGTATTCATTGTGGGTGGCTTGATATGTCTGACCCCATTTTCATGTATTATTGTTTCATATGCTTATATCTTCTCTAATGTACTGAAGTTGCCATCTGCCCATGGAATAAGGAAAGCCCTGTCCACATGTGGATCTCACCTCACTGTGGTCTCCCTCTTCTATGGGGCAATCCTGGGTGTCTACATGCACCCTTCATCCTCCTACTCAGTCCAGGACAAAGTGGCCACTATCATCTTCACAGTGGTGACTCCCCTGGTCAATCCCTTTATCTA